GGAATGTCCTAAATAAGTGCATTTTTTAACTTTTTGGACTAAAACGTTGAGAAAAAAAATATGATTGTTTGGGTTAACTTTTTAAATTTTTACGGAAAAATGTGTATTAAAAAATTGTATAAGTTGGTGTATAGGAAAAGGGAAAAATTAGGATTGAGAGTTGTGCAGCTGTACTTTTTGACTTTTGGTGAATAATGATAACTTTTTAACTTTTTAAGTAACTTTTTAGCTTTTTGGCTTTTTGGGCACATGCCAAACTTTGCCTTAAATTACAAATTATCCTTTGTGGTTTTAGAAATTGCATTATGCTCCCTAAGGTTTTTAATTTCATAACAAATAGGTCATTTTATTAATAAATCATTAAGTTAATTAACGATTTTTAATAATGTTAAAATTTTATTTCAATTAATAATTCAGATAATTTTATTATTGTATAGGTGAACAGTTAGAAATTTTATTTTTTCAATTAATTTTGTTAAATAAAAAATTCTAATAAAAAAATATTTGTAATTTTTTAAATCATAAGAATAATTCGTATTTTAAATAAATTTCAAAAAATATATTTGTAATTTACCCTTTTAATTGTCAAAACTAATCTTCTTAAAATTTAAGTTACCCAAATGAAGGGTGAAAAAGTTTTAGACAAAGCTCACAGTCGGTGCATGCAGGACTTTCCAATGAACTATATGGTCAACTAGGTCGTTAGTTAGCCCAGTTCAAAAAAAAAAAAAAAAAACTGGGTGGTGCAGAATATATATATATATAAATGTAAAGTTTATTTTATACATTTAAATAATTAAAAATTATATTTTTCATAGTTTTATAATTTTTTTATTATACAATCGTACAGTTATTTATCCTTTCAAAATGATTCTCCCTTTCAATTTTTCAAATAAATTTTAAGTCAATATAATATTTTAAATTTAAATATCAAAAAATACATTTCAGAGCTTTATAATAATGAATTTTCAATAATTTCGTAAAATAGTTATTTGATATTCTTTTGTAAAATGTTTTATTTGTACAAATATCTTAACAAAATACATAAAATGTAATCAGATTTTAATTGGGATAATAATCATATATGATTGACTCAAAAGATACAATTTAGGTTGCGTTTATATCATAAATTTAGATAGAAATTTTTAAATAAAAAATAAAAAATAGATAAAATGTAATTAAATTTTATTTACATTTTACCTATCTTTTTTTTATTTTCTTTTTAAATCTCTTTTTAAATTAATGATTTAAACACAACATCGCAGCAAAAAAAAAAAAAAAAAATTAATTAAAAAGAAAATAAGTGAAAGCTTGCATTGCTTTGCCGTATTCCCATTTTTTCTTTTTTTCCTTTTTGTTTGCTAGGTGAGTTAACTTTATTTATTTTTTCGCTTTCATTTCTTTTTTCCTTCTTCACTTCCTCTTCCATTTTTCTTTGTTTTTGTTTTTACATCTCTTAATTATTTTCTCATCATCTCTATAAAAATAAATAAATAAATAAAAATTTAGGTAACGTTTGATAGAGTTTTATAAATATGATTTAAGAATAGAGTTGTATTTTGAGTTTGTAAGTTTTAGAATTATAATTTGAGTATGAAAATTTTGTTTGGTGAATGAGTTTTGAATTTAATGGGAGAATTTTTGATGTAGTATATGATATTTGATATGAAAACTTACAATTCATAACCGAACACACAACTCAAAATTATATTCAAAGCTCATAAATTTTTTTTAAAAAGTTCCAATTTTTTTTTTAATTTAAAATATAAAAAAATAAGAGATGCCAATTGTTAAAACAAGAGGTGCCAATTATTTTCTCATCCATTAGTTCTGAAAAAACAATGTGCAAATGAACTAAAAGAGTAAGAGCATTTTCAATGGTTGTTGCTATATTGTCATTGTTATTGTTATAATTTGGCAATGAATAGTATTATTTTGTCAAATTATAGCAATGGTGCTCCAATGGTCATTTGCTATTTTGACAAATTCTAACCAACTTTGCCTCTAAATTTGTAGGTGTTGTTTGGATAATGGTTTTTTTGTGATTTTTTTTTGTGACTTTTTTAACTGTTTGTAAAAAAAATTATATATTTATATTATTCTCGACTAGACAAATATAAAAAATGAAAAAAAATTGAAAAATTGGAAAAATAAATAAATAAATAAATTTTATCTTTTTATTGCCTTCATTTGAAAAAATATATTTATTTTCTCATTATACTTTATTGAAAAAATTAAATTATACTAAACTATTTTGCTACATAATACATTGCAAAAATAATATTACATTCTTTTGTAAAAAATACTCAAAAATACAAAAACAAATATGAAATTTCATTACAAAATAAAAATATGAGGATCACTTGACGAAAATTTCATTACATTATCTCGTAATTATTCATCAGGAGGCACGAGGAAATAGTAATTTGGGCTGCTAACATTTGAGGACCACTAGGCGAAAATATCATTTTTTCGCATTGTGTAATACGTTTTCGTCTGAGGGTTCAAATAAGAAATGTCCGTAATCATTATCATATATTCTTTCTTTTTCATCTCATGTTCTTGTCTTCTGATCTCAAAGTCATGTTTTTTCATCTCAAGTTCTTTCATCTCCTGCAATGCTTGAATCCTTTTTTCTTCTCTTTCATCTTTTTTCTTTTCCTTCTCAGCAAGGTATTGGTTAAATGTGTCCAATTGTGTGCTCATTTTTTGAACTTCAGCTTGAACGACTTGATTTTTCCAAAATAATTGTTTTGCAGCTTTCCTACCCATAGGCCTTTTAGCTTTTGCAGAGACACTGCCCTCACCAACAGTTGGATTGTTACCAACACTTAGACTGGTGTTATCTTCAAGAGAAATGCAGTTATCTATAGGGGAATCGTGGGCTGAATTAGGAGAAAACGGTGTATGTATCATTGACTTCACTGTGTTCGTAGATGTTACATCTTGTCACCTAATATTACTTTGCAAGATTGGCCAACAATGTTCAAAAGCAAAATGTTTGTTTTTATCTTGATGGTATAACAGTTTTGCTTGAAACATCTATATCAATATAATATTAAATTAATTAATTAGTTAATTTTTATAGAAGACAAAATGAAAAAACTAACATAATAAATAAAAATGAAATCTTACTATATCAACTTGTGATGCCCCACTTGGATGTAGATTTTCGACTTGCGCTAGACACCCACGAAATTTGTTGCAACATTTCATGATTACACCCCTTCGAGATGAGATAGACACTTGTGTTCTTGAGTGATCATTCTGCAGCGAGCAAAAATTTTCAAAAATTCCTTCCCAAAAATAAACATGCGATTGCGAATTTCCAACAATTGGATCTTCAATAATGTGACACCAAGCTCTACAAATAGCCACATCTTCTTAAGTAGTGAATGATTTTCCTCTTTTTATTTTTAATGAACCTTCCATACTGATTGTATAAAAAACAAAAAATAAAAATATAATTGACACAAAATATTTTGTTATGAATTGAAATTGGTAAAATAAGGTAACCGTATTTATACACTACAAAAAAATGATTTTTTTTTTTTTTTCTAGCCGTTTAATTTATAGTCGTTGGTGTCTTGAATTGTTTGGAAAACTAGCCCTTTTTTTACTTCCATATTTACATAAAGCCGTTGGGCTCATGTCACACATTCCAAGATACTACTCTCACCGTTGGATCTTTATATCCAACGGTTGATATCAAAATCTAGAGTCCTCTTCCTCTCTCTCACACATACCATTGCAAAGTTTGTCTTCCTATCTATCTCTCACGCATCTCTATCTGTCTTTCTATCTCTTCATTGTAAAGTCTGTCTTCCTCACTCTCACCTTCTTTCTCTCACCAATCTAGTTTCGTTCACCGATCTCTCTCCCCCGTCTGGTTTGAATCATCGATCTATCTCCATTATCTAGTTTCAGTCACTGATCTCTCTCCACCGTCTGGTTTTAGTCACCGATCTCTCTATATCTCTTGATCGATTAAACCGTCTCTCTCTCTATATATATAGATATATCTCTTTCCGTCTCTCTCTGTACCTCTCTCGATCTCCATCGATGAAGCTGAAGCTTGGTTTCGGTCACCGATCTATATCTCTTTCCATCTCTCTCTGTCAGTCTCCATCGATTCAACCATCTTTCTCTATATCTCTTTCCGTCTCTCTCTCTATATATATATCTCTCTTTCAGTCACAGATCACCGATGACCTCTCGGTTTCAGTCACCGATCATCGATCAACTCAAGGTTTCAGTCACTGATCAAGACTCTTGGTTTCAGTCACCGATCAAGGTATGATATATTTATTTTTTATTTTTTTTAATATCAATCTATTAGAGTAAAAATCAAATCTTTCAGATCCTAATGAAGATATCTGAGAATCGATTTTTAGATGTTATTCTGAGAATAATTTTGATTTTATTGAATGTTGTTGATTTAGTGGAATGTTGTTGATTTAGTGAATTTCTGTTTAAAAAAAAATTTGTTGTAAAAAAATTTTGTGAATTTCTGTTTAAAAAAAATTGTCGTAAAAAAAAATTGTGAATTTCGCAAATGAAAAATTGTTCTGTTTTTGTTTGAGTTTTTCTACAAACGGATGAGAAAAGGAGGGAGGAAATAAAGAAAATCAGTTGGTTTGGGGTGAGCTGGCAAATTTGCCATTTGCCAAAGTTGTTGTCATACTTGGCAATAGGTTTGGCATTTGCCATTTTTAACAGCTGCTATATCTCACCATTGGAGAACCCTTTCTCCTCAAAGTTGCTATATTACAGCTTTGGCAGCTGTTATATCTCACCATTAGAGATGCTCTAACAAAATAGCTTTTACCTAACTTATCTTTTTTCTTTAATTTTTTTTCCCTCTATAAATGTTAAACCAAATTTAAACACAACCTAAGGAAATTACAAAATAAATATGATCAAATTATATGGTTGTAGTTATCAGATCAACATAATTTTTTAATAAAAAATCTACTGACATAGAAATAGAAGATGAGCAATTCTATCAAAATGGGTCATGTAACGAGCTCACCTGATTAGATTGATTATATATCGAGTTCATACAACTGAAGAGAATCTGGTGTCTCTTTCACAAATGGAATCAAACATTTTCATCTCCATTCCAATTATTTTTCATCTCGGGACCAGTTGGCCCTTCCTCACCTAACACCTCTCTAGGAAGCCCTCTAACGATCTTTTCAAACTTGGCTTTCAGAAACCCTGGTATCAATTTTTCAACCTTCTTGAGTTCACCATCAATGCTATAGTCAAGTTTAGGACCCCATTCCCTAGCATAGTTCAACCATGGTAGTTCAACCACCTCTGAACCCAAGTACTCAGCTCCAACAACCAAGTACTTTGACCCGGTGTCAAAGACCATTTTACCCTTGCCTGTTTCCATTTTTATACCTATTCCCCCATTCCCTTGCAACACAACTCCTGCCTTTGGGCTCATAGCATGACTGTGCAACGCTGCATAGGCCACTAGTTTGTTCCCACTTTGGAACTCAAGATTTGGTGCATCAACCCATACCCCTGCACCATGCTGTGAAAAGTAGACACTTTTGAGCTCACCATTGAAATTGCTTATTCTTAGTGTCACATGTTCCCAATCACCAACATGCTCACCAATCTTACCTAATGAGACATTGATTATCCCAACTTTAGCCTTTGATGGCCCATTGAATGGGCAAAAAACCCACATAGCAATGTCGGTGAATGTCGTGCCAAGCACCGGTTTGACATGTAAATAAACCCCTGCATCTTGTAAATCCCCTTTCTTGACCTGTTCTTTGGCTGCTTGATCGACCGGGAGGTCGATCCAGTAGGCACCGTCATTCGAACCACCTTGGGGGAGGTTTGAGCCGGTGGGTTCAATTGCAACAGGATTGGATTCATCCCCTTTTGTGTATAGCAATGCCCCATTTTGGAAAAACCAACTCACTGAAGAGGGAAGGTATTGCTCATCAGGGTGAAAGTAAATCACTGGAGAGTAAGCTTGAACCAATGCTTGAATTTGACTCAAGTTAGGCATTGAAGTCAAATTACCATTGACATTCTTCAAACAGGTTATGGGCATTGTGTTATTCACACCATTATGAGCTACAAAAGTACCTGCAGACAAGCCTAGAGCTCCAATTCCTCTATTTGTTGGTCTTAAACCGTAAAAACTCAACCCATTCGCATCCTCTCCCCAAATGAATGCGTCGGTTTCGCAGACATCGGTGAAATCAGAGCGAACACACCGGATTTTATCGGGCGAAGGCTTGTCAGGCGAACTCGTGATGACATGACCGACCGCTTTATAACCGTCAGGTGGTATTGGCAGCCAGATATAGGCATTTCCATCTTGGTTGATTTTTGAGGACTCACTGCTCCAAACAAGAGTGTAGTCAATTGGAGGCCTTAGAGCTTCACCTACGACATCTTTTGCGGCCACAACAGATCCAAATAGAGGTGAATTGTTGGGTTGGCCATAGAATCCAAGCGTAAAGAACCCTTCAGGGATTGAAGATGGCTCGAAAAACGTTGCGCCGAGACCCTCCGGTCCGCCTTCATGGGTTGCCCAAATTTGGGTGAAAGATGTTATTTGACATAGTTCTAGTCCTCCTAGATCTATGGTTCCACTTGCAAAACCTTCACCTATAATTGAAAATTTGAAACAAAATTAAAATTAAAAATCAACACAATATATGTATAGAAAATCATACAAAGATAAAGAAGACGATTATAGTGGTACCTGGTGGCCAATTGGGAATTGGAGAAGGAAGCTTGAAGAGGGTTTGGATAGGCAAAGGGTTATCTTCAGTTTTCTTGGTGATGATGATCGGAGAAGAAGACAGATTCATAGAATTGGTCATTGAATAAGAGATGATGAAAAGGGAGTAGAGAAGTTGGAAAACAAACAACATGGTAGTATGAAAAGAGCCTATAATCACCATTTCAGCAAACTCAATGCTTCAAATGTTTCTATACCATATTGCTATGCTCAATATCAATAATTTGATGTTCTTTTTGTTTTTGTTTAGTACTTTAGGCCACAGTAGACATCAACTTTTGTATTGGTCCACTTTAATAAATAAAGAAAATGAAGTGATGAAAGAGACGGTTTAAATAGGAATTTGGGAGACTGGTGGAGTGACACCTGTGAATGGTTGATTAGCTCCTCAAATGGGAATCAAAAAAGAAACGTATGTTCTGTTCTGTCTTTAACTAACAATCCTACGGATACGGACAAAAAAAAATGTATTATAAAATCTGAATAGTAAATAAAATTTATGGTTCATATTTATTTGAAAAAATAGGTTATAAGTTGTTATGGGTATATATCCATTAAGTTCAGTGATTGTTTTGTATTATTTATAAGGATGTGATTAATAAAATATATTAGTAAGAAGAAAAAATCATTTTGAAGGATTTTTATTTTTTCCTTTGTATTGTTACTCTCACATATTATTGTCAGTCGCTGACCCTCATCAACAACTCACTGAAGCATCATCAAAATCTCATAAAATTTATGGAAGAGTCCATTGAAAAAGTCGCCGACATTAGAGGCCAGCGAGGATCGATAGTAATGATATAAATATAGAAAATAAAATTTAGAATAATGTTTGAGAGTTCGAATTTGGCCCCCTTAATCCCTTTAATCCCCAAAACGATGTCGTTTTGGGAATATTTTTTTTTTTTTTTTTTTTTTTTCCATGTTCGACTCTGCAACAGCTTGGAGGGAGAGGGAGAGAAAGAGAGAAGAAGAGGGGAAGAGAGAAGAGATCATCACCCAGCACGTCGTCGCCGATCGCCCAACCCGTCGCCGCCGTCGCCCAGCCCGTTGCCCCGCTCCGATCGTTGCAGTAGAAATCAACTTTTGTATTGGTCCACTTTAATAAAGGAAATGAAGTGATGAAAGAGATGGTTTAAATAGGAATTTGGGAGACTGGTGGAGCGGAGGCCTGTGAATGGTTGATTACCTCCTCAAATGGGAATAAAAAAGGAAACGTATGTTCTGTTGTCTTTAACGAACAATCCTACGGATACGGACAAAAAAAATGTATTAAAAAATCTGAATAGAAAATAAAATTTATGGTTCATATTTATTTGGAAAAATAGGTTATAAGTTGTTATGGGTATATATCCATTAAGTTCAGTGATTGTTTTGTATTATTTATAAGGATGTGATTAATAAAATATATTAGTAAGAAGAAAAAATCATTTTGAAGGATTTTTATTTTTTCCTTTGTATTGTTACTCTCACATATTATTGTCAGTCGCTGACCCTCATCAACAACTCACTGAAGCATCATCAAAATCTCATAAAATTTATGGAAGAGTCCATTGAAAAAGTCGCCGACATTAGAGGCCAGCGAGGATCGATAGTAATGATATAAATACATAGATTGACAAATAGGTTGAGAAATAGATCAATAAAGGACAGGAGGTTATTACTGTGCGTTCAATTTTAGATTTTATGGACTTATTTTTATAATTTAAATTATTCATTTTGTAAGATTTATTAATTATTTCATATCTATTAAAATTATATTTATCGCGTGTCAATAACTATGTGATCGGATTGCATATTTTTTATGTTATTTCTCAAAAAAAAAATTATTGTGTATTTTTTTTATTATAAATGTAATTCGATCAGATAGTTATTAATGTCCGATTAATATAATTTTTTATATGCATGAAGTACTCAATAAATCTTACAAAATAAACTATTCGGATCATAAAAATAAACTCATAATATACCTTAAATTGAAGCACAACAGCCATAGCAGCACTTCTGAACCAAAACCAAGTTTAAAAAAAGCTCCAAACAAACCTCAAGAAACCTCAGCTCCAAGGTATGAGTGTTTGATCAAGAGTCCCTTTGATAACGAGTTTCGCCACCACTAAGGCTATTTTGAAATTCTTAAATTTTAATTTTTTTTTTTCATAAAAAATTTAAAAAAAATCAAAAAATAATTGTTAATCATTTTTTCAAAACACTCTTAAAGTGGAATGGTTATCTTAAATATCAAAATTATTTATATTTGTTTTATATTTTATTTTGTGAGCCTTATCTTGAGTTCACAATAATAATTCGAATTATTCATATTATAGGTCTAACAGTAAAAATAAATTGTGCAAAAATTCAATTTTATCAAATATTATTAACAAATGAACAATTTATATATATATATATATATAAATGGACAACCAAAGAGTTTAAACCTAAAACTTTTTATTTTATAAAATAGAATGCAATACATTCATTTATTCATTAATAACCAATATGGCTGATTTTTTATACATATAATTTTCATTACAAAATTTATGAGAATAATAATTTAAATTATTATTGTGGGTCTAAAATGATACCTATAAAAATTGATGGAGAGATTGATAAAATTTTCCTTTGGATTCTAGCAATCACTAAATAAATAAATAAATTCATTTATTAATTGGGTATCTATGAATAGCAAATGCTCTGTTTGAAAGAGTTTTGAAAATGTAATTTTACTTTTTAATTTTTGTGTCATGTTTGGTTACTGTTTTTAAAAATTAATTTCACATTCATTTTTAAAAATTCTATTGAAGGCGGAAAATTTTGGGATAATTGGTCGTCCTTCCGGATGTCCGGTCAGTTGATCAATACAGTACAATATATATATATATATATATTTATTTTGTTATCTTGAAGGTGCATATAAGTTTGTAAATTTCTCTGAATTTTGATTTGAGTACAATACTGCACAATCACACAGAGAAAATTGTAAGCTTGCAGTTCAGTGAAAATCACTGAGAAACTTATAATTTCATAACAGTTCTTCTGTGTGATTTTTGTCTATGATTGTGTTTAATAGTTATCATTAAATTTCTCTGTTATTCTCTCTAGATTCATTAAGTTTTCTGTAATTTTTTTTTTTTGTTTTTTTGAAGGGTTTGGTTGTTGAAATAATTTATGTTTTAAAATTTTTGTTTTAAATAATTTCTATTTGAAAAAAATTGGTGAATTTGGTTTTACAAAAAATTAACTCTGTTTTGCTAGGAAGGATGAGGGAGGGAAGGAAGAAAAACGGTTGATTTTTGGTAAGTTGGCACATTTGGCAGCTGCCAAAGTTGGTGCCAAATTTGGCAGCTACTATAGCATGCCATTGGAGAAGTTATTTTTGCTCAAGCTGTCATATAATGACTTTGGCAATTGTTTTAACAATGCATTGGAGATGCTCTTAGTACACCTTTTTCTTAATCACAGAAAGACAGTGCAATATGAAAACCTATAGGTGGGAGGTGTCCACCTATAACTGTTATCCATATTTAAGACAATTTAGTATCAATAGCTTTGATATATTGGAGCAGACTTACTTGATTGAAATCAATTCTATATCACTGCTTGTACTGCTATTTTTCATTCAATATATGTATATGTATTTTGAGGTCTATTTCGTGTTGATCATTCACATTGAGATTGTATTTATTTTTTGACACACGACATGATGTGAATTTCCACATCATGGAAGGATTATACACGTTCTTATGTTTAAGGCCCCACTACATGGATGTGAATATTGTTTAAAGTGTTATTATAACACAATATGACAGGTGTGAATATGATATTTTTTAACACATAAGTCAATATTTACAGCAAATAATTTGATGATGTGAATATTCCGCTAATGTGAATATTCACATCATAACTTTTGATGATGTGAATGGCAGCATCGATGTCAATATTCACACCACGCCCATGCATGCATCATAATATACACAAGAACATCTTATTTTTGCTAACAAAAAACACTCACAATTACATTTTGTAATACATATCTGAATATTCACGTCTTCTAATTTGATGATGTGAATGATTACAGTGATGTAAATATTCATGTCATCTACTTTGATGCTGTCAATGGTAACAAGAATGTGAATATTCACACCACAATAATGTTAAAAGTTTAACCCATGTGTAAGTATTCACATAATGTGATTAGTTTACACAAGTGTGAATGTTCACATCATGTATTCATCCTTAACACACTAACAAAATGTCAGTTTGCTACCCAAAAAAAAAAAAAACAAACAAAAATCAAATACTAATTTTGCCAATGCATTATTATGTTTGCCAACACAACGTAATCTTATTGTAACACAATATTTGCCAACATAACACAATCTTATTTCAAAAATCAATATAAGAATCCCATGTAAAACACAGACATGTTACAACATGATGCATGTTAGGCTAAAACATGGGATTACAAGACAAGTATATGAGGCATACATGGCATGTCTAAACCAACTCAAAATAGTGCTATATCATGGCAAGACAACCACAAATACCAGCTAAGACATGGTCAACATGAACTTAACAAAGGTGCTCACATATGAGGCAAATATGACAAGTATTGAAGACAACAAGGAGAGGGGATGGCCCTCTCCTTCTTAGGACCTCAAAACACCATCCCCACCATTGAAATCCTTGGATTTCAGTAGTGAGAAGGCCAATACAAGGTGGTCCTGGAGCTCACAAAAAAAAGCACAAAAATGGGGCCAAACAAGGCCTAAGAGGGGTAAACAACCCCAAATTCAAAAGTAACCTTAAACAAACATCTCAATCATGAAAATACAAAACTTTTTTTCAATTGGACACTAAGCTTAAAACAGTATGCAAGTATTGCTAAAAGCTTAAGCAAAAATGGGGAATAAAAGAGTAGTTTCTCACCCTTAAAGAACACTTCAAGAACACCAACTCCAGCACCTCCTTTTGATCAAAACCAACTCAAAAACTTTGAAAACAACTCCTTAGCACCTCAGTAACTAAGAGATAGTGTACCACTAGGTGCCTTAGTGCAAAAATATGAACAAAAACTCCCTTTAGAACACCATTACACACACAACTATAGAGAGAGAGGAGATGTAGAGAGAGAGTGACATATATCTCATATATCAGATTGTTCAACCCCTGGAAAGGGAGGGGAGGCCCTCCTCTTATAGGAAATCCAATTCCAAGCTTCCAAGGGAAACTAAGTGTAAGGATTAAATCCCTCCATACACATGTATGGAGGGCAAAGTCTGTGCTTACCAGCTGGC